TCAACCAACAGGTTAAGGCATCAGAGTGTATTGCTTTAGCAGAAGGCCAACAGTGTCACCAGACAGCATCTGAGGTCTCTAGCAGAAATGGCTCTGCTTTGCTGTAAATTATCTATCTGGTGCTCCCACTAATGTGTCTCTCAAAAGCCTTGATTTACAACCGTCTTTTAGTCTACAACCACAAAAACTTCTCATAGCCGCTTCCCCAGTGCAGCATAGGACTTGGAGCAACCCAAGTCAATTTTCCTGCATCATGGCTATTCACATTTGGTAAAGAATAAACTGTCATATATCCTCTGAAGCAAGAGTCGTGTTTTGTGTCCACAAGATGGGCAACTTGAGCCAGCCAGGACAGAAGGATGGAAAGATGGCCCGAGAAGAGGACCTAAGGAAAAGACAGGCTTTGAGCTAAATGCCATGTTTAAGTGTTGACAGCAGCAGGCGGCTTCCAGGATCAGCTGGGTCCCCACAACTTTTGCTAAGGTCAGACTCACATCATACGGGATGGCAGGATAATAATGTCCCACAGCAGCGTAAGTCCTCTGCAAAGACCCTGGACTGTCCCCACACATAAATGGATGCTGTGTGAGCACCCGCTGCTCTTCCAGCCTCCCTGCCCTAGGCCCCTTCTCACTGTTCCAGGCCTATGTGGCTCTTTGGCATTCCCTTAGCAGAGTAGCTTCTCTCCAGCCCAAGGACTTTGTCATTCACAGCCGCCTGTGAGAGTGATGTCCCCAGGTAACTGTACATCAATGTCCCTTTTCCCATTAGGACTCGGCTACAATGATCCCTGTCAGAGGTTTGATTTACTGCTGACACCACCCTGTCCGTGTTATTCCTTTACCCTCCAGTGTGTTTCACTGCCTGACCTAGTTTGTATGAGTTTAGTTACTTTACATGTCTCTCTCCAGGCTTAGTGAGTGAATATAGTTATTTTCTAGTCGTAGGATACGCTGTCAGAGAGAACACTTATCTCAGTCAGACTATTGATGCTCCAGTGTGGTTTTTTTTTCTCAAATAACTGAGAGTCTGCAACCGGCTGACTGTCAGAATGACAGTATGGCAGGGCTGAGGACCAACACCAAATGATCGCCATGCCGGCTAGTCAGGCATCTTAGACGATCTCTCAGTGTGGGTACAGCAGAAGGGACATCCTGCCTCCACTGACGTACTTTGTTTGCTCTGAACACCAAACATCAAACCTTTCCTTTGCTTGTTTTTAACACCGCACACTGGTGTCTCGACCATGAAGAGCCCGCTTCGGAAAACAGAATGGGCTGAAATCTAGGCATGCTAATGCAGGCCTGCACACCCCGCAGCATCCGATACACCTGCAGCCCAAGTCTCTCGCTCCCTGCTGGCCCGAGTGCCGAGTCCCACGAGGCTCTAGGAAGGCAGTTTCCAGAGACACCCTGGCAGGCTGTCCACAGCTTGTTCTCTCTTCAGAGCTCACCATGCCACCATTCCTTAAAAGAAGAGGGTAGACCTTGACTTGGTGGCTCACTCAGTATTTGGGAGGCTGAAGGAGGAGGGCTGCCACATGTTCGAGGCCATCTGAGGCTGTGTTTTGAATTCTAAGTATGCCTGGATGACAGAACAAGGCCCCATCTCAAGAACAAGAGTGAGACAGAGACACACAGAAAGAGCATATCACTGCTCACACCCACATATGTGCATACATACACACCATTGTTAACTCACATGCCTCCCTGCTAGAAGAAAGCACATCAAAGAGCTTCATGTGGCCAGTCCAGCACTATTTTTACACAGCACAGAGCGTCTCTAAAAATGCCTGGTCTAAGGATATCCTCCACCACTACCCACCCCACCCCAAATGCTTGGTCCCAGTGCTGCTGGCCAGAGCCTGCTGTTCTTTTTAATTACATGCTGCTGCACTCCAGTAAGTTGGAGCTGATTGCTGCTGACAGGCCATCTGGTGTCCAGTCCCTGTGGAGGATCACACCTTGGTAGCCACGTCCACCCCCAAGTCCATTCGAGAGAGCAGAAAGCCCTTGTTGCCTACTGGAAAAGAGGACAAAGCCCTTCAGCTCACAGTAACCAGGTGCCTTCCAGGCCCTAAGCCCACTGATTAGGATTCTCGCCTCGTTCTGGCAGAGGAGCTGAGGGATGTTCAGAATGGAGGGAAGATGCTGGGCCGGACAGAGGCTGGGCACAGGGTACCCCAGTAATGTCAGCATCTCAGATGGATGTGGTCCTGAGGAGCACCTCCTTGGCCGTCATCTAATCCTGCTGTGTTACTGCCACTCAACAACACAGATATACCAGGCTGCTGAAAGATGGTCCAGCAGGTTCGTCGAGTCATGAGTGTGCTCAGTTGTCAAGTTCCAAGAGACACTTTGTGGTTGGTCCAGGACAGACTAACCGGGAGCCAGACATTGAGGGGGTTAGTGAAATGTGAGGCTGTCAGCTTTGAAATAGGAGCAGTTTAGGGGTGTGCAGGAAGTCACCTGGAACCGTGCCTGTAGCCTGAAGTCCTGGACCCCAAAGTGGAGTAAAACTTTTAGCATTTATTGAACAGAAGTCCTGTTTTTGTTTGTTTACTTGTTTTGTTGTTCTTCTTCTCATTTTTATTATTTTTTCATACAATAGATTTTGTTCATACTCTTTTCCCTCCTTCCAGATCCTTCCCCTTTCCCCGCTTGTCCAGATTTATGTTCCTTTTCCCCTCATCAAAAAATAAAAAAACACAAAAATGAAAATAAAAACAATAAGACAAAAAACTACCAAAATTAAACAAAAGTGCGCACACACCACACTATCATCGCCCACCCACACATGCCCACACACACCACAAAACCGTGGAGCCTGTCTTGTGTTACTGAGTACTCCTGGAGTGGGTTGATATACCCAGTGACATTCCATTAAAGAAAAACGACATCCCTTTTCCTGCAGGAATCGATTGCAAATAGCTTCTTGGCTGGGGGTGGAACTTCACATCCATTTCCCCTTGTGAACCTATCACAATCTCTGTGAGTTTATTGTGTATCAGTCCAGTTGCTTCCGGAAGATGCTATTTCCTTGGAGTCATCTACCACTCTGGCTCTTACAGTCTTTCTGGCTAGACCCCACTGCCCTGAGTGGTAATACAGTCCATGATAAATACATTCCATCTAGGCTGGGTGCTCCAGCTCACTGCACATTGACCAGCTGTGGGTCTCTGTTAATTCTCATCTACTGCAAGAAGAAACTTCTCTGATGAGGATTAAGCAATACATTGATCTACAGGTATAGCAATATGTCATCAGTAGTGATTGTATTGCTGTGCTGCCTTAGCAAAATAAAGATGCCATGGCCGGTGTAGTCTCAGATTCTTGGCCACTCTTGCATTGTCAGACATGGGTTCCAGCCCTAAACCATCTCCTAAAGTGGTTGGTCACGCCCCTGACATGATGCACTATTGCAGCAGGAGAGCTTTCAGGCAGCTCATTGTCGTAGGACACAAAAATCCTGTTTCGAGAAAAGCATAACTAAGGGACCATCACAGAATAAGTCCTGGCACTTGGATTCATTTTTAAGAGAATATTTTTCTCCACTAAAGAGGATTTTTTAAACAGAGTCTCTCTCTGTAGCACAAGCTAGACTCAAACTTTTCATCCTCCTGCTTTAGCCTCTCAAGTGCTAGGATTCCAGGCATGTAACATCATGCTTAGTTTAAGGAGGTAGCCATTTAAACAGAAAATAAAAAAATAAAAAATAATAAAAAAACAGGAAAAATTCTTGAAAAAACCATTATGCTTCCAAGTTAAAGATTAATTTTATATACTGTACTTCTTTAGATCTAAGCTTAAAACTTTATATCAGATTATGTTCTTTGTCTACCAACACACAAAACCATGTCTACTTCATGATTTTATATGCTGAACAGCTTTGGCTTTATTCTGAACTTTTGAAACAAAATCCTTCAATCAGTTATGTAACAATCCAACAACAACCTACAGATGCGTAGTGCCTGCAGCTTTTTTTGAGGTCCTGAGTCTGGGCAGCCTGTGTAAAACCTCACAGAACAGGAGACAGGGCCCCGCCATCACCTTCCTCAGATAAACCAAGATGCTCTTCTACCTAGTGCCTGAAGGTCCTGAAGCCAAGTGGGCAAAGCCCAGCATTCAAACACCTAAAACAGAGTGTCTGGTTGTTCCAGAATAGGAAGGAATGGGGTGGTATGAAACTAAGGATTTAGGGAATTGGCTGGGTATCTGAGCACGTTGGGAAAAAGAAACTGTGAAAGATATAGCTTAGGAATCAAAATTTATGTGTGCATATGAGGCCCTGGGTTCTAACCTAGCAACACACATGGACACACACACACACACACACACACACACATACACACAAGCTTTTTCCTCCTGCCTTGGCATCCCTAGATGGTGGATTATAACCTGTAAATTGAAATTAATCTTTTCTAATCCAAGTTGGTTCCGGTCAGTGTTATATCACAGCAACAAAAATCAAGCTAGAACACTCAGTCTCTAGCATGTTCATCTACTCACCCTGGCCATTGTCACTGTTAGCTCTGTCAGGTACCACCATGGCTGTATTTGAGCCAATCTTATACAATTACAGGGCTGGTTGACATGTTCCCATGATTACTTGTATCACTTTGTCAGTGCTCCCAGCTGGGTCACCTGCAGATGTTTCCCTTGCTTCAAGATTAAGCGTGTCTGCATCAACAAAGACGAAGCTCGAAGGCACCACAGCGAGTGACTGGAGCCAGACACGAAGACTCTGTGATCCCATTTGTACGGCAGCCTCACGAAAGCAGTTTTGCAGATCATGAAAATGAGTCCATGGCTGTGTGCGTGAGGTTACATGAGGAGGAAAACAGCAAATGTAAGAGAATGCAGGGGCTATTGTGGGTGGCTTTCTATCTTTCCAGTATTCTGGTAATTATTTTAAAAAGAGACTAAATGTGCTGTTTTATTTCAGCAGGGAGTTGCGCTCACTCAGAACACACTGCAGAAAGGCTGAACTTGCCCTTGGCTTTGCCGTCAGATCTTGCGCCACGTTTTCTGGGTATGGTTGCTTTTCTTCAAAGGATTTCACAGCATGTCTGTGTGCCCTTGTTGGCTGTGCCTCGTATGGAGGCGATTCCTTTGTTCCAGGAGTGTGTGTCTGGCTTTCTCTCCTGGCTTTTTCTGTCTCTGCACCTGTTATTTTTCCCGTGTTGTTTCTCCTTTCATTTTAATTCTTTAACTTATTTCTTGAGATTATAATATAATTACATAATTCTCCTCCATCCAACCCCTCCCATGTGCCCCTCCTTGCTCGCTTTTAAATTAATGACCTGTTTTTTAATTAGTTGTTGTTACATATATGTATATGTGAGATATATATATATATATATATATATATATATATATATATATATATATATATATATATATATATAAATGTACGTTTGTTTTCAGGGATGACTGTTTGCTGTTGGATAAGTAATTGATGTATTCTTCCCTGGGGAAGACTATTTCTCCAGCTCTCCTTCTTTAGATGCCTGTAGTTCTCTGTGTGGGTTTGAGGCCGCCTGGACTTTCCTTGTCAACGTTAGCATGTTAATAGCATGTTAATGGCTTGTGTTTAAGCAGTCATGTTGGTGAGACTTTATGGGCTTAGTTTCTGACATCACTAGGAAGGATCTTGCCCCAAACTCCCTGATCCCCGGCTATTACAATCTTTCTGCTCCCTCTTCTGACCCCTGAGCCTTAGGTCCCAAAGTTGCACTGTAGATGTATTTGTTGGGACTTGGTTCCACAACTCTGTATTCTCATCGGTTGTGCTCTTCTGTAATGATCTCTGTATGTTGCAAAGAGAAGTCTCCCTGAGGAGGGGTGGGGACCTCTGCCTGTGGGGGGCCTCAGCAACTTCCCTCTGGCTGAGTGAGTCTTACCTCTAATCAGAGTGTGTTGGTTACAGCCAAGGCACTCACGGCACTACTGCACTGTTAGTGTTATTGGGCCCTGTTAGTTGTTGCTCTGCTTCGAAGTAGGTAGCGCTGTTGGTTGCTTCTCCCCCTGAAGCTTGCAGGAAACCTTCCTTCCTTTGTTGATCCTATTCTTGTGCAGATGTCATGCCATCTCCTTTCTAACTGTGACTCATCCCCGAGTGAGGAAAGCCTCTCTCGGATTAGCTGTTTATGGAGGTTCTGAGAGACATGGCTGGACACACCTGGCTTTCAGAAGCCTTTGTGAGGAAGGCTGAGCGTGTGTGGTGACAGAGTCCTGAACAGACAGGTCTGGGCTGTTTGCAGTGGTGTGTGCCCCTCCTTACCCATCTCTCCAAGGTGTCTTCTTGCAAGTGAGTGTCCTCTGCTTTGTTTTGCTTCTCTTTTTTCTTTTCTTTTTTCTCTTCCCTTTTCTTTCTGTTTTCTTCCTTTTCTTAATTTTCTTTTTGTGGTAGTTGGGATTAATCGGGGTCTCGTGCATACCAGGCAGGTGCTCTGATACTACGTCAGGACCCAGGCCAACCGTGCTTCTTTATCATGGCAGAGAGATCCAAGGAAACTCCTGGCGCTGACCCTCTTCCATACCGCAAGTCTGGGATGTTCTCCGGGACCCTTCCGGCTCCTCTGACATGCCCCCACCATGACTCTCCCTTTTGCCATAGGACAGATCAACTGTCACCTGGTTTCACAGGGACTTATTTCTCTTTTCCCAGAAGGAAGGAGGTTAAATGTCACATCTTCTCAGCCAGTTCACCTAGTCTAGGCCCTCTACCAGATCACTAAGGCCCCAGGCCAAGGCCTTGGTCTCTACAGGTCTTCCCAGAGCTTCATAGGTTCACAGCCTCATGCTACCTCTGTGGACTTCAGTCTGATGAGTCACATCTCTCTGCCCTGAGAAAATTTCCCATGTTGTTTTAACTGATCACTCAGTCCTTCCTGCTGCCTTCTCTCCCCTGCCTTTGGCCCCTGCTCTTACTTCCCCCATGCTTTTCCAAGTGTTTCTTCAGATGGGTCCTGTGATTCGCTTGACTCCAGACTCCATCTTTTTTTTTTTTTTTTTTTTTTTTTTTTTCTCCTTGTGGGATCTAAAGTTTAGCAATCCCATTTCCAGTGTGTCTCCTACCTAGGACCCTGTCCTTGCATGCTGGATATGTTAAAAAAAAATAATTTTTACGAAGACCATATTTACTTTTAATTTTTGTGTTTGAGCTTTGCCAATTTCTCCGTGGTAGGTTGGTGTGCTTGTTCTGTGCTGATGATTCTCTTGGCTTGTCTGGGTACCTGGCTGCCCAGGTGTGTTAAAGAGTCACTTTTAGGAGACTTTTTGCAGTCTCCTCGTAAGTGTGGAAGTAAATGTCTATGCTCACAGTGATTTGTTGGCTGTGCTTTGTTGAGGGCGGATGGTGATATGTTCGGCCCTAGGCAGGAAATCCCCCTCCCCTATACCCAAGGAGCCTAAATTCAAATTGGAGTACAGATTCTCCCGTGGGTCCAGATGCACACTAAAAGCTGTGGCCCCTTTCTGTCTGCTTACTGGAGCCTGCTTAATGAGGGAAGTAAGAGGCCTCCACCTCCAGCAGCATGCTTTCTAGCAGCTAGAATTATGTTTACTCTTCTCTGGCCTACCCTCTGAGTTCCTTGGGCAAGGCAGTACGTACTGCCTCAGTGGCTGGCCTCTGCAGCCCCTGGCTCTGACTGCTACCCTAGCCACAACCCTTTCCTCCCTTTCCACTTTGGAGGCCAAGGGCCACCCTTACCTCCCACAGCTCAGTTCCCACTGCCCAGCCCAGCTACGCTTCTCTGTAGGCCTGTTCTCCAGGCCAAGGAGCAGGACACATGTTCCACCCCTTGGAGCTGGTGCAGAACACCGGAGACCTTCCTCCACTTCAGACGCCTGGACCTACTGCTCCCAGGGCCCTTAACATGTAGACACAGAACGAGACAGTAACTGTGAAGACTTGAGCACTCTGAATGTAGGGAGTGATTACCATGTTTGGCCACAACCTTTGCATGGGGCTCTGCCAAGAACATCAGCAGATCCCTTTTGGCTGCGGCCGCTGGTTCTCCGTATGTCATCTAGTTTGGCTTTCACCTATCATCCTGGGTTTCCCAGGATGATGTACAGGAAGGCTTGGGCATTTGGGCCTTCTTGTCTTTGAATGAATTTGCTCTCTGGAGGAGAGTTTACCACTCAGCTATGCCACAAAGGCGTGTTTTGAAATGTCTGCAGTGGGCTACCGGAAGATGTGGAATTATGCATTACCGTCTCGTTCTGCTGCATGGATTATAGCGCTCTTTCTGCAGGCCCTACTGACCTCCACACAGTGCGCTTCACCCTCACCCAGGTGCTATGTTTCATGGTGCTGACAGTCTCAGAAAGAGTAAAGGGCACACCCAGAACACCAAGCGGAGAACGGCATCTCACTGTACAAGCCGTTTCCTGTGGATTCCGAGGTTTTTCTTGGTTGAAAACTTACTCTCTAATTCCCTGGTAGATTTCAAAGGCAGAGCACACAATCAGATTATTGCCCACATCCATGGGCAAAACATCACGTAACCAAGCATGTTATTATGCCAGTGTTTGGGATACAGCTGGGGACAATTTGAAGCTGTGGATTTTCAGGGGTTTTTTTTTTTTCCTCTGAGACATTTTCTTCTAATAAAAGTACATACAGTATCAGCATACATGATAAAGCTGCCCTGTTGAAGCTCAGCAGAGTACTGCCATTCTGTGGTGGATCCATGCCAGCCTCAGAAACACCAGTGATACGGAAAGTACCCATCTCAGGATTGTGGGCTCTGCACTTTGGCTTCTTAGCTTCAGGGTCTGTCTCATAGGTGGGCTGTTTGCCAGGAGCAGGTGGGAAAATGACAGGGTCCAACAAAGCAATGTCAGCCAGAAGTGGGGGAGAAATGGCCTCTTTGTGTTGGCAATGACCATGAAGTATTTGGCAATCTTTAATTATTTTTCTTTTACTTGAGACATACTCTTACTTTGTAGTCATGGCTAGCCTACAGTTTTCTATGTAGCTCAGGATGGCCTCAAACTGTGACATCTGCATGCCTGTGCCTCCTAAGGGCTGGAACTGAAGGCATGAACTACCACACCTGGTATGTTTGACAGTCTTATCCAATGAGTTCCCAATGGAGACGAGAGGTCAGTGATGTGGCTGGAAAGGGCCCAGTGAGTTTGAGTTGTCAGGATGCTACTGTAGCTCCCAATAGCATTCAAACAAGAAGAAAGAGCTATGGACCCACAACTACCCTCCCAGGCCAAAGGATTAATGGGGCACAAGGAATGGAGCCTGGCCCTTTAAGAGTACAACAACTTGGTTTAGGCTGAAGACCTGGCCAACCTTTTTCTTGAAACTGTCATGTTCTGACCCCAAAATGAACTAAAAGGTCACCTTTGACCTGCCTCCATGTATTCCTCACAAGCACAGAGCCTGAGCAGAGAGAACATCCCTGGATCAAGAGTCAGAATGTAGTCTGTCTGCGAGGCATTGTCTGTCATTGTGCCTGAGGGCCATTTTGACGGTGCTTTCACCTTTAACAGCTGAAGTGGCCTTAAGGACACCACTGGCCCCAGGACAGTCCCAGAGTTTTCTCCTGAACACAAGCTGCAACTCAGCCTGAGAGAGTAGCTTCAAGGACTCATCATTCACAAAGCAGCACTCCGTAGGGAAGGATGAAGAGTCCCGTGAGAGACAACAACCCTGTTTTAAATTCAGGGTCGCTGTGTAGAATGACCAACTGTGGCCATAAGCCAAACATGACTGGGTCCTTATCTGAGGTGCCAGTGACTTCCACCTCTGTCCAAGCTGTGTCACTATCAAAGCTCACAGAGACCCAGGCTAGGAAGTTCTGGGCCCTCTGGAATTCTTCAGCCAGGAAGCTAGCTTAACTATCTTGCAACCCACCCCCACTTTCTCTGGGATATTTGAAAACTCATCACTGGAAATCTGAATTTTTCCATCAGGGAGTGCGTTAGCTATTTTATGAGGGGAGGGGGAAAGACACACGTCACCCATGTTTGACCGCAGACGGAAGCAGCGTAGGCAGTGCCACCTTCCACAAGAAAGCCTTTCCAGTCTGTCTCCATCCACCCAAGGCTGCTTAAGGCAGAACTAATGAAATTCTCTGTAGTCTGTAATGAATTCAAGGGGATGGGGCTTCTGACACACCTGAAGCTACTCAGGCCTCCTGAGTCAGCCTCTTACACCAGCCAGTTCTCTGTCTCCTCTGTAGGCCATTCCCAACTTCTATGCATAGGGGGAGGCAGTGCCCACAGTCCTAGCTTTACAGGTACCATGGGGCCAAGCACACGTGAATCTTGAGTTACTACGTCCAAATGCCAATTATGGTTCCAGAGAGAGAGGTCGGGTTTATTCCAGATCATCCTACTCGTTCGATTGCCTTCAGCCCAGGCTGAGGGCAGGGTGAGGTTCTAAGGAAGAACATGACAGGTCTTGGGAACTGGGGGCTCTGAGAATTGGGCAGATGCACTGAAAGAGATTGAAAGGGAGCAGAGAAGATAAGCTTGCCACGGATGCAGGAGCAGCTAACATCACAGGCAGAGAAGCCCGGCTCCCACTAAACCAGAGGTCAAAGAACCGGAGCCCTCCAACCCCTGGGAAATGTTCCTTATGGAAAATGAGGCAAGGCTGCAGTGAGTGTCTATTTGTGCTTCTCAGCAGCTTCCCCTGTTCTCAAATCTCCACAAGAGTAACTACAGCCAAACTACAGATAAAAGTTTGTGTTGTGTAGGGTGTGGTGAGGGTGACCTGAAAATAGCACCCAGGGTCCCCTTGTAGGACAAAGCTCCTCTTTGGAGGCCAGTGCCCATTAGACACCCCCAAACAAACCCTGGTGTGTTCGTCTCCTGCTACTACTCCCGCTTAAGAATCTACTTCAAAAAATACCTCATTCACTACACAAGGAACTGTTGAAGAGGTGGACAGCTTAGGCTGAGGAAGGAGACCAGGGAGGCTGCAGACTTCACCTGCTGCCAAGCCCTGTCAGAGTCACCTGGGCAGAAGGGCATCCATGTTTTTCTGGGACAGCAATAGATACTATTAGAAATATAGCCTATCTATATTGTGTTTCCAAGTGTAAGCCGCTCCTAAGTTGAGTGTGCTCCTTCTGATAGGCCACATCTCGTGATGATGTGGCAATCTATCTATCTATCTATCTATCTATCTATCTATCTATCTATCTATCAGAAATCCGAATCAAGAAAATGGAAGTAAATGGCAACAAGGTCCTGCTTCTTCAGTCCTGAGATTTTGGGGACACCTTCTTTTAAATGTGCTCCTACCTTTGGTCTTACTCAGTTCTTCTAACACCTCTGAGATGTGTCTCTGTCGTACTGTAAAGGGCACATGAGGGCTCAAAGGTGAGTGATCTCCCCGAGGGCATCAGGTCAGAGTAGAGGGGTAGGATGTGGCTCTAGACTTCTTTGCTGCACACTTGGCTAAGAAATATTCTTACCTACCAGTCAAAACTGAGCTGGGCACCTGGTCCCCTGCAACCTTCTGATAAAGGGTTTTGAGCCCTAGGAGAAGAAATAATTTATTTTGTTCTCACCAGTTTGAGTAAAATTGGCTCAGGCTTACAATGCACAATGTATATGCAATCTGAGCCTCAAAGGGGTTCCTGAGTGTCTCCAGGGCTGTTGCTGTAAACACTTCATGGCCTGCTTCCACTGCAGGCACACCCCATCCCCATAAGGAAACCCGCTTGTAGCCCGGTGCTAGGAGCTCACCGACTTTGCTGAGGCCTGAACAGTGTGGGGAGCAGTCACAACATTGTGTTCTGTGTGTTGTCTCATCTTCTTCTGCTTGGTACATCCTTAGAGCCCTTCACTGGGGGAAAGCCCATAACGCAGACTACCTCTCCCCTCCCATGGCTTACCTGCCTGTCCTCTCTCCCCTTCCCTGCCTGCCTGGAGCTACTCGGAACAGAGGGTCTCACCTACCCCGTGAGTGACTGAGCTGCTTTAGAATCCCAGACAGGCTAGTCACCTGTAGACTGGGAGATCACCACGCCCCTCTCCCAGACAGCTTGGCTTCCCACTGGCAGGCAGAAGTTACTGCCTGCATAGACTGGTAGACTCGAGAGACTATACCAAGCATCCTACACAGTACAGGGCCCTCTACACCTAAGCATGACCTGGCTGTGTGATGTTGATAATGTTGAAGTTAAGAAAGCCAGCATTGGGGCTTTAAATATGGTTTAGCTGTTAAGAGCATTTCAGGCAGGCATGGTGAAGCATGCCTTTAATCCCAGAGCTTGGGAGGCAGAGGCAGGTGGATCTCTGTGAGTTTATGGCCAGCACAATTTAGATATCAAGTTCCAAGCCAGCCAGAGCTACCCAGTGAGATCCTATCTCAAAAATAAAAATAAGAGGGCTGTGTACACATGGTATACACACATGCATGAATGCAAACATTCATATATATATATATGAAAAAGAAACCTGGGAGATTTTTCTGGATGCCTTGGTTGGAATTGTGCCAATTAGTCAATAAGCATCCTTATGAGACAGGACCAGCAAAGGGCCAGAGAGGAGAGCATCATTAAGCTCTTTACCAGAACCCGTTGCAGATAGATCTCACCTCTCATTTAATGGAATTCTAAGAGGGCAGGTCCGAGGAGGAAGAGGAGAAGCGGAGGAAGGCTTGGCACGGCCTGAAACACTTTAAGATGAGGCCTACTGAGGAACTAGATGGCTGGACTTGACCAGAAACTTCACATGTCACCAGCCTCCGACACCCAGCTTCCTCCTGGCTTCTAAAAAGGTGCCAGGGAGTCACTTGACAGTACCAATTCCATCTACGACATAAAGCAATTACAGTGACAGATCCTACCAGAGACAGAGCCACCTAGTGACAATTCTTTCCTGAGACACAGAGCCATTCTATGACTATTGCCACCTGAGAGAAAAACGCTACCCCCGGGTCCCTATGAAAAGCCCCCCAGGTCCCTATGAAAAGCTCCCGTTTCTGGGACTTCTCCACCTGAGAAGCACAGCAGCAACACCTCTTCTTAGACACCAGCCCTCTCTAAGCTGAGGCACCCTCTCATTCACCTGAAACACTCAAGTCTTCCAGTTTCGATTTTCCTGTCTGTTGGAAGATGGATTTTACCTACCATCTTCTGCTGTGTTTTCTCCTTTCTCTTGAAGGGAAGGATACTCAGCCAAAAACACGAACTGCTTCCTTGTGTTTACAGTGGAGAAAGGTTTATTTATTTTACAATTGCATCCACATTTAAATGGCAACCAGGGACAGTGATGCCAAGCAGTTGGGGCCTTGTGCCCTCCCTGACATGCTGAAGAGCTTTCTGGAAGGATTCCCAGACTTAGCCCTTGCCTCAGAAACACACACTTCCTGTTTAGCCTGTGGCCCCCTGCAGAGCCTCCCCTGCTAGGCCTCACCCTAGGAGCCAACATGGCTTCCTACTCAGCTGCTCACTGCCCTTGGGCTCCCAGAGTAAGATCAGTGTTCCTGCTTCTTCTCCAGAAACTGGCTGCTCTGCCAGTTTCTGTTCAGCCCACGCTACCATTCAGGAGACACTCTCCTCTGCAGATGAGGACCTGTAACTAGAGAGGAAGTAACAGGGGGAGAGAGGGGGAGGGGTTGCTTTAAAGTACCAGAAATGCTGCTGCTTTCAGTTAGGAACATCTTCCATGTTCTGTAGCCAGATAATAAAGGTAACTGGGGTGACAGCCTCACAAGCCAGGCTGACCCTGCGAGCAGCATGGATGCAGAGCACATTTTGGAGCCACAGCTCCCCCCACACCATGGCCTGTGAGCTCTTAGCAAAACAGCCCAAGTAGTGAGGTGTGTGCTGTTTCCCAGCTAAAGCAAACTTGGTTCAGATCCGCTGGGCTTAGTTTGGATGATGAAGGATGAAGGGTTCAGCTATGGCCTCCCAACCAGACGCCTTTCCTGGACCATTAGTGGCCTAGTCACAGTCTCAGCTTCTGTGTGTGTGTCCTACTCTGTAGGGATTTCCAGTGCCAGGAGAGGCCAGGCACCTGTGGCCATGGTCATAAACTGGGAACCAGGTGGCAGACCAGATGTTGAAGGAAGGCTGCTTTGTGAGAAAGTCTGTTTTGTGAAAGGGTTTGGCGGCAGCTTGTATGTCACTTGGATTTCCTAAGCTCAGGGGCAGAGAAATGGTGACTAGCAGCAGGACTACTGTAAATGACACCATTTATAATATGACAAAGAACGTGTTCATTAAACAGCTCTTAAAAATCAGTCAGACAAATGTGGTAGACCACACCTTAAAACAGTTGCCAGGTGTGCTGATATATGCCTGTAATCCCAGCACTCAGAAGGCAGAGGCAGGTAGGTCTCTGAGTTCCACACCAGCCTTGTCCACGTGTGAGTTCCAGCCATCCAAGCCTGCGTGGAGAGACCTTAATTCCAGCAATGTCAACCACTTCCTTTCTACCTGCAGAAGGTAACGTTCCCACTATGACCTCTAGGCTGGTGCGGGGTTGTCCCTGAGACAAGATGGGCTTGTGCTTGCTCTGCTGGCAGCTGTGTGCCCTTCCCAGCAGGCTCAGTACGCAGGCTATGCATTTCCTGTCCCATTGCACTCCACGTTCCCCTGAGAGTGGGCTAGTCATCCAGATCATGTGTGTGCGGCATCGCCCTCTCTTCTAGGTGAGCTCCTTAACAGGATGCCCAGAGAAGGACGGGCACATACAGGACAGTTTCCCTGAGGAGGAACAGAGCTGCTGGGAACAGGACCCTGGTGTTCAAGGGGCCCAGGCCTTCCAGAGGCCCAGCAGAAAGGTCCCTGAGAGAGCCTCCTGCCAAAGAAGCTGCAAAAGTGTCCCTGTCCTTTCCTGAACTGGACTTTTCACAACGAGGACCTGTGAGTATGTAGCCCAGTTGCCCACAGCTTATCAGGAAGCTGCGATGCTGACTTCCTTCATTACTTAAGTCTGCCTCAGGCTCAGCTAATGTTTGTTCAAACTGACAGCCCCTAAATCATGTTGCTATGTGCCTGTCGTAGGCTTCATTCAGCCACAGTTGGACAGGGAGAGGCACTAATTTTCTACTCTAAGTTGGAAACCTAATGTCACAAAGGCCAGAATTCTGAAAAGAAAACATTACCAGCCTCTTGATAGTCTTTTGAGTTGCTAGGAAAATCTTGTCCAAGACACATTTAAAAAAAATAATAATAATAACTTGGGGCTTGCAAGTAAAGGTGAAGGCACTTGTCACCAAGCCTGTTGCCTGAATTTGGTCCCTGAAAACCATAAGGTGGAAGGGAAGAACCAAACCCCACATTACCCTCTGAACCCCACATGAATGCCATGCTCGCACATGCTCCCACAGGCATTAATTAACTAATTAATTAAATGTAATAAAAACAAAGCTTAAAAATTAATAGCTTAATATGACCAAGACTTTGTGTAACTGGATCTCAAGTCAACTGAAGAAGAAGAAAAGAAAATTTGCTACCTAAGTTGGAGTTATCCAAATAGTTATAAATGATCCAAAGACAGGACCAAAAGTGTTTTTTTCTTAAAGAAATGCAAAGATTGAGACAGGAAAGAAGGGCTGGAGAGATGGCTCAGAGGTTAAGAGCACTGGTTGCTCTTCCACAGGGCCCCGATTCAATTCCCATCACTTAGCTGGCAGCTCATAGCTGTATCTCCAGTTCCAGGGGACCTGATACCCTTACAAAGATACATGCACATGAAATAAATGCATATGAAATAAAGATAAATAAGTTATTTAGAAAAAAAAGGAAGGAAAGAAACGGAGAGAATGACAAGTGGCAGATGAGGAAGAGTAAAGCCACCAGCGTGAAAGAGGGGGCTGGTCCATTCTATTCTGTTCTGTCAAAGGAGAACGCCTTTGACCTCTCTCTTCACATTTACTTCTGGAGGTGGGAGCTGTTTTGCTCCTCAAAACAGCAAGAGTGAGCTAAGCAAGGTCCCAAGGCAACCACTGCAGAGGAAGCAGAGCCTGCTCTTCCTTAGCTCCCGTCCATTGTTCAAAAGTCTCCACAGGCAGCACTGGGCTCTCCCAGGCCTGGGTGCCATGGCAACAGTCACGTGATCCCCACAAACAGCTCTGCTGAGGCTGTAAGGCTGAGCCTGCTCTTCTCTGTAGGGAGCTGGAGTTTGTGATCTGAAATGCACCGAGTCCCCCAACTAACCACCTCTTGGGCTGAAAGGGACCTTCAGAGAGCCTGGGAGAAAAGCTACCAGGAACACAGGAAAAAGGTAGGAGACAACAGCTAGCCTCATGCTCGGGCTTGGGGTGCCAAGCAGAGCCCAGGGAAGTAGGGCGCAGATTTTATTTCATTTCATGTGTATGAATGTTTTTCTTTCATATGTCTGTGGGCCACATGCATACCTGGTGCCCGAGGAGGCTGGAAGGCACTAGGCCCCCTGGAATTGAAGTTACAGAGAGTTGTGGGCACTGAGCCCAGATTCTCTGAAAGAGCAGCCAGTGCTCTTAACTTTGCTAAGTATCTCTCCAGCCCCAGAATGACACTTCTTCAAAGGGCTCATCATTATGTGACCAGTGAACAAGATTTCCACAAACCTGGGTTCCAGATCATCCCATCCCCAAACACAGTGTGTGTTCCTAAAATACCCAATCCCCCTCCCCCAGTACTTGAAACCATATTAGGAAAAAAAAAAAAAAAAGACCTGTGTGTCCACTCCTGGACCACCACATTGCATTCACCAAAAGAAGCTAAAACCTACCTGCACCTGGAAAGGGGAGAGACAAGTATCACTTCTCTTCTCTGGATTAAGACTTGGATGTGGCTTAAGCATGTCCTGATGGCCCAGTGTGGTGGTGCACACCTTTAACCCAACACTGGGGTGAGGGGTGGGGGCAGAGACAGATCTCTGTGAGTTTGAAGCCAGCCTGGTCTCCAAAGGAGCACAGAACAGCCAAGAGTGCAAGGAGAAACCCTGTCACGAAAAAAAAAAAAAAAAAAAAAAAAAGAGTGTCATGATGGAGTTGAGCCCAGCTTCCCCTTCTCCTTTCTGGGCCCCCTACTGAGCACATTTCATTGGTTGTGTTGGAAACACTCAAGGGAGGTCATTCTTGGATCTGGAAACTTCAGGAATAGAGTGTTCCCCTTCATTAATTTTCAATGATTGCCCCGGGTACCGAATCGGTAATAAACCCTGTTTCCTGTTTCCTTCAGAAACTTCAGGGGATACCCTAAGAGGTCAACGCATTGCCAGGCTCACCTGATGCTCCAGCCTCACTCATCCTTTGCTTGCCTCTGAGCTCCCTCCCCCACCCCCTCGCTATGTAGCACTCCTCCCCAGCTCTTTTGAGAGCCTGAGTTTACTTCCTTATATTTCATTCCAATGTACCTCTCAAGAGAACTGTTCACTGCTATAAGAAGCATATCATGTCCTTCTGCCTTATTCATGACACCATGTTGGATTATGCGCTTGGCACATGGCATTTGTTTTACCAGCTCTGATCAGATGATCCACTGTAGTATTATCAACCTATAGTAACCACTTAATAAAGAGCTCTCACTGCTCACTAGGAGGCCAGAGTCAGTAAATGTTGTTTCTCTGAATGATCTTCAAGACCAGTCCAGTGGGTATATTGTTCTTTTTTTTAATCCCAGGGATTGGCCCAAGACCCATGAGTTAAGCAATCAACCTGTGCTTATGTGAGTGCCCAAAGCCTGCACCCAAGACACTGTTAAAGGAAGATGTTTTAAAATGGTCACTGCAGAAGAAGAGGTCCTATTGAGCAAATGGGACGTACAGTGGAGCGTAGGCTAGGGCCCTGAGCTGTTTGGGAGCACTGGCTTATGGCACAACTACACACATCTTTGAAATGCCCCAGAGCCTATGGTTGGGAGTTTTTAGAGAACCGGATATGGCCAAGGCCATCAGCAGAGCACGTAGGCTGGGGATCCACAGCCTGGCACAAAGACAGATATGAGCAGGTGGAAGGTGATGAGGAGCAGCAAAGGGCAGAGATCCCTCTTCCACCCCAAGCAGGACCATGAGGGAAAGGTGCTACGCATGACAGAACAAACCATGAGCCTCATCGAGAAGAAGACAGAAACAAAGATGGGAAGGAAATCACATAGGACCAATCTTGGGCATTGCTGACGAAACAAATAAAGAAGAGGGGGGATTGGGCGGAAGCACTCAATGACGGAGGGCATAGCCTCTGAATAAAAGCCATGCCAGCCGGGGGGGTGTGGAGTGGTCCAGACGGAAGGAGGTCAGACCATGGAGGCCTGGAGCTCGTGTGACGTCCCCATAGGCACAAGACAAGGGAAGGGGACTGTCACAGTCAGGGTTTCTATGCTGTGATGAAACCTGAAACCTGACCAAAGCAACGTAGGGAAGTAGGGGTTTGTTTGGCTTACAATTCCATCATCAAAGTCAGGGCAGGAACCTAAGCAGAGGCCACAGAGGGGCACTGCTGACTGGTTTGTTCTCCCTGGCTTGCTCAGTTTGCCTTCTTAGACAACTCAAGACCACCTGCTCAAGGGTGGAACCGCTCACAGTGAACTGGGTCTTCCCACATCAGTCATCAATCAGGAAATGTTCTCAGCCCTGCCGACAGGCAGTGTGACGGAGGCATTTTCTCAGCTGGCGTTTCTCCTCCTAGATATGTCTAGGTTTGCCTCAAGCTGACAAAAAGCCAAGCAGCACAAGGACAAAGTGTGACTGTGGCCTGGGTACCAAGGGCCCTGTTGGACAAAGACGGATATGAGCAGGTGGAAGACAGGTGATGAGGAGCAGCAAAGAGCAGAGATCTCTCCGGCCCCAAGCACAACAGTGTTTCCTGTGAATAGTACAGATTTCAGTTTTTCAAGTACTTAGTGCTAGAATGAGAATCTCTGAAAACACAGAGTTTGATGAATCAGGGAAAAGAGAACACTGTACCCTCAGCCACCAGTGACACCCCAGAGCCACCTCTAGAGTCTCGTGAGGTAGGTCTTTTAGGAGCTGAGTGCCCTTCCGATCCTGCTCCCACACGTCAGCCAGCACCACCATGGCGTAGTTCACTGCTTTTTGAGGGGAACTGCTTCCTCCTCCCTGCCTGGTTCCCTTCCTCTGATGGGCTTATACAGCTGGTGAAAGAATCTGCAAGCCTGAGGATGCGTTGATAAAGCCTGCCTTGATCTGTTGTTTATGCTATAACGAGACACCCAGACCAGACAGCTGATGAACAGTAGACATTTGTTTCTTATAGTCGAGAGGCTACACACTTAAGATCAAGTCTCTGGAGGACTAAGTGTTTGGGAAAAGTGGCTTCCAAGATGACAGCCTCAGCGGGATAAAAGGAGGCACAGGAGATCTCTGACTGTTTTATAAGGGCTTTAATTTCACTCATGAGAAAAGAAACATGATTTACTCATGTCCCCAAAGGCCCCACTTCTTAATTCCATCATAGGGAGGGTTAAGCTTTAGCATGAATCATGGAGGAACACAGAATCAAACCATAGCAACCTTCCAAACTGAAATAAAAGAGAACAAAGGCCTAACCAAATCAAACAAACACAACCTGAATTTCCAAACACAGTGGGACAAGTGCAGAGGTATAATACACCCACAGTGAAAAGACCAAAAGGAGAAGAAAAAAAGGAAGAGGTCTAAGAAGGAATAATAGGAAAAATGTCTCCCAAATTCATATCAGACATGACAGTCAAAATCCAAGAAATCCAGGGAATGCCACGAAGCATAAATGTCTCAAACTACACATACACAAACATTCTGCCAAGGCTAATGACCTGAATTTCATCCTTGGGACCTACAGGATAGAAGGGGAGGACCAACTCCCACCCACGTGTCCTCTGACAGGTTGTGAAATGTGTGCATGCACACAACAAACACACACATAAATACATGCATGTAATAAAAATTTAAATACAGAGAGTAACAATGGCCTGGATTATGTATGTCTTGTATACTTCAAAAATACAGGAGCGGGAGGGAAGTAATAGGATTTAGTTGTTGTAAGGGGCTATACTGCTCATTATTCATGGACTTGGAATAGTTTTAAGTGTATGTTGCAAACTCCATGGAAAACAGTAAAATATATATATCTTTCAAATGTTTAACTGATGTGGCTGGAGAGATGGGTCAGTGGTTAAGAGCACTGGCTACTCTTGCAGAAAGAGGACTTGGGCTCAGCTCCAGCGCCCAGATGGAGATTCACAACCTCCTGTTACTCCAGTTCTAGAGGACCTGGCACTCTCCTCAGGCACCAGATACACATGGAGCATACATACCTGCAGGCAAAACATTTGTACACATAAAATAAAATAAAGATATTTGATCTCAAACAAAATGAGAAAAGGCAGAAAACTTGTATAAAACCGAAAAAAGGAACAAAGGACAAGGTTGATGGATAGAAAGTAGCAGCAAATGTAGTCATATGACTGAATCAGTGGTCCTCAGCCTTCCTAACACTGTGACCTTTAATACAGTTCCTCATGGTGTGGGGACCCCAACCATAAAGTTATTTTCATTGCTACTTCACAACTGTGATTTTGCTGCTGTTATGAATTGTAATGTAAATAGTTTTGTAGGCAGAGTTTTGCCAGAGGGGTTGTGACCCACAGTATGAGAAGTGCTGGTCTAAATGCACCAATTAAGTCACAGAGATTGGCACCTGTGAAAGCTTTAGCTGGTAAAGGTTCTCGAAACCAAGCCGAGCTTCATTTCCTGGAACCCCCTCGGTGAAAGAAAAGAACCACAACTTCTGGAAGCTATCCTCTGGCCTTCGCTCAGTGTTACATCATGTACACCCTGCGACACTCAGTAGAGAAATCAGTGTTTTCAAAAGGCAAATATGAAAGTAGATCAAAACCACATTTAAATATATGTGTGGTGACCATAAAATCCACCTCAGTATAAAGATATGCAGATTACAAATAAATAGATGGAAAAGAACACACCATGTTAACACTAATTCAAAACAAGCAAGGAATTTCTTTGTTTTTTTTTGAGACAGGGCTTCTCTGTGTAGCCTTGGCTGTCCTGGACTCACTTTGTAGACCGGGCCAACCTTGAACTCATAGCAATCTACTTACCTTTGACTCCCTGAGTGCTGGAATTAAAGGCACGTGCCAGCAAGCTGTTTTTAATTTTAGGCAGAACAGGCTTTAAAACAAGGAGTTTTACTAGGGACGAAAAAAATAATTAAACGATTACAATGGTATTAACCCTTCAAACAGATAATCCTTAACATGTATGCAACTAACAATAGAATGTCA